GCTGGGGGTGGGAGAGAATACTCACTGGAGATGTAAATATGTATATATATATATATATATAATAAAAACATATTAAACATAGAACTATCATATGACCCAGCGATGACACTCCTAGATATATACTCAAGAGAAATGAAAACATAGATCTCCTTAAACTTGTACACAGATGTTCAAAGTGGCATTATTCATAACTGCCCAAAAAGTGGAAACAATCCAAAAAGTCCATCAGCTGAGAAATGGATACACAAAAATGTGATCTATCTATACAATGGAGATAGATAGTATTTGGTAGTAAAAAGGGATGAGGTACTGACACATTATGACATGAATGGACCTTGACAACATGCTTTGTGAAAGAAGCCAGTTACAAAAGACCACATATTGTATAATTCCATTTATGTCAAATATCCAAAATGGCATCCATTAAGACAGAAAGTAGTTAGTGGTTACTGAGGGCTGGGGTGGAAGTGGTGGTGTCTGGGGAGAATTGAGTAGTGAGAGTTAATGGATATGGGGTTTCTTGTTGGGGTGATGAAAATGTTCTGAAACTGGTTGTGGTGAGGATTGCACAACTCTGAGTATATTAAAAATCATTGAATTGTATACTTTAAATGGATGAGTAGTATGGTATTGAATTATACCTTAAAGCTGTTACATATATACACACATGTACATATATACACACACACACATATGCACACATATATACACACACAAATACAAATATACAATTACAAATATATATGTGTATGTGCGAAGAGACTAAGCCATTAACGGTGGTTTTATAGGTTGTTTTTCTTAGTCCCTTTCAAGTTTTCTTAATTACTTTTGTGGCTCAAAAAAGTGTTACAAATAATTTAAATAAAAAAACCCAGTATGTGTTTTTTTTTTTTAAAGATGTTTTAATTTGTTTCTGAAAGAATGCAGAGTAGAAATAGAAAAATTACATTGTAAAAGATGATGTTCCAGAGTTGTTTGAGGTCTTCTTTTGTCCTGACATCCTCTCCGTGACTGCTTATCCTGGGGCAGGGTGGGAACCTGGTTGAGCGTTGCGCTTGGTGCATCGGCAGGAGTGTTGGAGCTCATAGTCTAACAGGGCTCATGCTGATGTTTCTGTGGATAAGCGCCTCATTGTTTCTTCTAGTCTGTATTTATACTGGGAAGGCCAAATGATAGTTCTTACTAGTATTCCTAATAAGTAAAAACAGTTATAATTCCTTCGGTGAAAAAGGTCTCATGGAGATACTGAAACAAAGGTCAGAGTGTCATGACAACCTCTGAATTGAGAGTGGTAGATGTCACAGATATTTTCAAATTTTTTCCCTTTGCCATTGTAATTCTCTGGTAGTTGTGAATCAGACATGCACACTAGGATAAAACATTAAGGTGATTCGTGGAAGTGAAGTTACTAGTGAAACTCCGGTGTGTAACTGGAGAGGAAAGTGTGGCTTGGGTCTTGTGGAGCTGGAGGAGTGGGGGGAAGCCAGGGGAAAGGCATTATCTGTCTCATCAACCTGGCAGTTCAGAAGTTGTGACGAAATAATGCGAGTATTGAAAGTGTTTGGATTAGTAATTTTAAAAAGTGAACTTTCCCTCCCTTGTCCCTAATGATCTACTCTATCTCATCAGTTATTTTGGGCCATTGGATCCTAATCAAGGAGAGAAGCATTTGTGCAGCACCTGTGACATGGAAGGTACCCTGCTTGGTCCTGGAGATGCAAGTGTTGGACTTAAGTTGATTGGACTCAGCCTTCCTAGAGCTTATAGTCTTTTGGGAGAAGAGGACTTGTTCAAAGACTGTGAACTGCACGCTTTTTGGGCATTGGTGGGGCAGGAGAACAAGCTGAGAGCATGACTCTGGTTTTCCTTTGTGCTTTTGACGCTGCCCTGCATGTCTAACCCAGCTGGGGACTTAATTGTAGAGAGTTGAACCTGAAGTAGGAGTGAATCTGCAGTAGTTGTCTGGCTGCCTCTGATCCAGGTTCTTTTTGCCTTCTTCCTGGGGGAGGAGTCAGACAGCACAGCAAATTGTAGTTGAAGAATACTGAGCAGCCTGTATTTTTGATGTAAGCTTTCTCTTTGCTTAGCTCTAACCTCTGTGGTCCCATTTCTCAAAAGGTGACAGTATGGTTTGGGCACAGAATTGAGATCTATTAGACTAATCTGTTTCTTGACAAGACATTGGTATTAATCTTACAGCTACTCCACCCTGTGTTGAAAACCCTGTTTGCTGGTGTAGTGTCCCTGGTGAACATGAATATTAGAGATTACTTCTTGTTCCATTATAGTTCGGCAATAAAGACCATGTTTATGATGTTTGGTAAGTCTGATTTAGGAGGGGGTGATCTTTACTTCTGGGTGGGCCTTGAAGGCAAGATTAATAGGCCTTTAAAACAGAATAGCTTGGGTTTACTGATATCATTATCTGCTGAAGGTTGCTATAGCAATGAGTAGTTTGATTGCATTCTGCAATTGGTGGTGCAATGGCTGAGTGTAAAAGGATCCTAGGCATTTAGCAGAAACTCTGCTGGAGCAATTAAACTCCAGTGGAAGGAGTGCCAAATTCTTTAAAACCTCTGAGATATAGTTCTATGTCATCCTAGATTAGTTAAAGATGCATTATTGCCACAAGTATTTTTAATGATTTTGAGATAAAGGCTTTATAGCTTTGAAAGTTGTTTTTAAAATGATGAAGTACACATTTTATGAAGACATCTGCTTTAACATAGTTTGTACTATTTGCTTGAATATTGAGCAGAATTGATTTAGACTGTAAGAAAAATGCAGGCTTGTGAAGATCAGCCTTTTGAGAGGGGCAGGGAGATGGAATCCAAACATACCACCAGGGTGGACTCGGAACAAAATACTGGGTGAACACATCCTTTGTTGTTGCAGGTGGATTACCTGACATAGAGATTTCTTCATCAGCAACCCTGAATAAAATGTGTATTATCCTTCTGAATCAGTGCTGTGGGTGCAGAATTCTTTCGAGATGCAGAATTCTTATCATTTAAGAGTATGTGGTCTAAAATGGCTCTAAAGGAATATCCAGGGATGGGCAATAAAAACGTCAATGCAGATGTGTCTGTTGAAACTTTAGTTCTAGTTACCCTTTTTTTTTTTTTTAAAACATCTTGGTGGGTATTCACTGAATTTTTAGAGTTTGGCCTATATATATTTCAGAGCAGAAGACTTGCTGTGCTCTCATATGGTAAGCACTATAGTAGATGCTTCACATCCGTTTTCTGCATCTGTGCAGTAGGACACAAACTTTCTCCTGACATGGTGTTGTGGACTTTGGTGAAGTCGTCTCATTTTGACATTCCCGGCAGGGGCCCTGTGGTTCTGCAGATGGCACTCTGCTGCCACCTGGAGGCCTTGTGTGGATGTGCATGTAAAGGTGGGCTGGGATGCTGGACAAACAAAAGGCCGGGCATCAGTTACTGTCTTGGCCTTACTCCCTGTTGAGGTCAGTGGTCATAACTGCATGAAATTGAAGCTATTGTCCTTTCATTTTTCTTCACAGGGGCTAATGTACAGTATGAGTTCAAGAGCAATATATTCTGTGTGTGTGTGTTAGTCGCTCAGTTGTGTGCGACTCTTTGAGATCCCATGGACTGTAGCCCGCCAGGCTAGTCTATCCATGGGGATTCTCCAGCCAAGAATACTGAAGTGGGTTTCCATGCCCTCCTTCAGGGCATCTTCCCAACCCAGGGATCGAACCTAGGTCTCTTGCACTGCAGACAGCTTCTTTACCAGCTGAGATCCCGGGGAAACCCCAGTATACTGTGGTGGAGTGCAAGTATCTTATTAACTTGCTTAATGTAAAGCAAGTTCAAGGTTATTGTTACGCAGATTTAAAAAACCACATCATGACTCTGTGTTTGTTGACTTCTCTGCTCCATCCTTGCCTTTTAAGCTTCGTCCTGGAAAGCCACCTTAGACTTTTTCTAAGCAGAAATGTGGATGAGAACTGGCATTGTTGCCAGGCAGGAAGAAGAGCCTGAATGAATCTCCTCGGAGGTGTGAGACCTCTGTGCCTTACCGTAATAGGAGTGGCGTAGAGTAGGGAATGCCTAGTTAATGCACCTGTTGGGAAAACCAGGGGCTCCCCAGACCGGGCATCCTGCAGGGCCTGGGGGCAGAGAAGCTGAGGGTCCAGAGGAGGGCCTGGGCCCACAGTGTCACGGTACAAACACAGGTCCTGGTTAATCTCCACCCCACTGCCCTGTTAGCAGTGCCCGTCTCTTCTGTTTTCCTCAGGCCTAAGCCTGCTCTCATGCTTGTTTCAACCACAGTGGCTCTTGTTTATGGGTAACTGAGCACCAATCAGTCAAGATAGAGAAAAATACGCCTTAAGTGGGCCTTCCTGCTCATCCCAGAACACCGTGAGCACTGATGCTTCCAGGAAAGCCTTTACGTGGAGCCTGGGCCCCCGGGTGCCTGGGGCTGGTGAGGTGGATCCGGACACTGTCCGAGGTCCCAGCCCAAGGGCCGTGCTGATGTTTAGGGCTCTTCTTGACTTTAAACCATGGGCAAGGAAAGGCTGAACCTCGTCTAGAACGAGCTAAGCTCTTTTGAAACGTGCAGTTGGTGTTACTGGAGGAAAGAGAGGTTTGGGGCTTCAGGTGGGTACAAGTCATGTTGTCAGAACGGTGCTGTGTGGAGGAAGCTTCGGTCAGCACGCGGCCTCCTTCTGGGTTGGGGGGTTTGTTTGTTTAACGGCCGTCTTCTTCCTCAGGATTTCCTGTGAGAGCTCCTGGCTTGTTTACATCTTGGTCCATACAAACAATATCAGAGCGTGGGCTGTCGGGTTATACTCTGCTCTGCGGAGTTTTTTAAGAAGCCAAATCTAAAACCTAGTTCCACACAGACAGCTCTGAGCAAATCATTTATATTTGTCATCTAGTTTCTCTTCCCTCCACCTATTTTCTTCTTCTTTTTTTTTTTAAAAGGAAGTTCCTATCAGTGGATCCTGATGAGAATTATTCTTTTTGCAGAGATTAAGAATTCGGGGTGCAGCAGATCATCACCTAGGAAGGAGGATGTAAAGGTAACGGTTCTTTGCCTGTTTTCACCTTTGTGCTTCTCTCTGGAGTTGAAGTGGAAGTGAAGATCTGGTGCTAAAAACCCAAGGCAAGAAAACCTCAGGGATATGTCCCGAGACATGTTGAGAATAACTTGAATTATTTCCTCTATCAAATTTTCGATGTCTACCCTTGATGACTAAACCTAGCGGTCTTCTGGGTTGTATATGCATCTTGTCTATGCAAGATAATTGAATACATTTTCTAAAACTTTGTACCTGAAGATGGTATCTATAGCTGTTTCCCAGCAATGTGTCTTCAGAAATGAACCTGGGAGCTTATTCCTGAATATAAAATAGTCTATGGAAGACTTTTAGGCATGCTTCAGCTTGGTACAGATCCTTTGCTTACTTCTGGCTCTTAATATTAAGTACAGACTCGTTTTTCTGTTTACATATGGTGACATGTGTAACATGTCTTTCCTAATGTTTTCTTAGGTTGCTTTTTCATTTATAAAAATAAAAAGTGTTAGCAAGTAAGTAACTTGTAAAAAACCGACCTGACTTTGTGTTTTTCAGCGTGTGAAAAGCCCGGTGGTTCCACTGAATGAACATGAGGACCAGGACAGGCTAGATTTGGGTATGTTCCAACAGATGGCTTCCTCTGGCATTCATGTAGGGGTATCACAGACATGGGCATGCAGGCGACAAGAAGATCTATTTAGAAATAAAATCTTTATTTCTGGGAGCCGGGTCTGTTCCTTGAAATGCATTTGAGTCTCCATTTACAATTTAAAAAACAAATCAAAACGAAGGAAGGAATCCAAGCTTTTCCTGGACGGTTTTACTCTGAGCACATGCTGGCTTGGAGCTGGTCATATGTTACCCTGTCATCCCTATGAGGTAGGCACTCGTAGCTTCTGTGTGTAGCTGATTTGACGGAGGCCACTGTGAAGAGTAAATAGGGGAATTGAGACTCAGAGATTCATCTGCCTGGCCTCAGAATCCCCAGGCTTACCTCTGTCCCACTTTGATCCCTGGTGAGGACCCCTTGGAACTGAGTCTGTGGGATCTTTCCCCCTGGCCTCAGGAAAAGACCAGATTCTCACCCTGGGGCATGGATCTGACATGGGTGTTGTTTCAAAGGAAGCAGACACTCTCTTGCCAAGAGGAAGCTATTTCTTCCTATGGCCGTGGGAATTCCCATCTGCTCACAGGCATCGTAACTCAGCACTCTCCGAGGGGTATCTCCCCACATCTCTTCCTCGAGCCTTTGTTAATTGTTTAGGGCTCATCAGGGCTGCATTCTTACCTTTGAGTTAGAGCCTCTTGAAGCTGTTGGGGGTTTGAGGATATACACAGGCGGGGCCATCCGCTGATGCCTCATTTGGGCCTCTGAGAAGTGGGAAGCAGAGAATAAAGAAATTTCTCAGTTTCCTCAGGCTCAGCGAAGCTGAAGCAGCTCGGACACCTGGAAAGTGCCAGGGCAGAACAGCCTTAGGAGCTGCAAGGGGCTGGTGATCAGGGAAAAGCAGGACACCTCCCTGGGTGAGAGCCAGGGTGGGTGGGCCTGCGGAGTGGAGCGGCGCGGGGGGCTCCCTGGGCAGTGTTTTCTCACCTGGCAGGCACAGAGCAGAGCGATTAGGAAATCAGGGAAATAAAGCCGGGCGGGGGGAAGCACCCCGCGTGCCAGTTGGCTGTGCCACAAGCAGAGGTGGTTTCTGGATCTCCTTGCGTGAGGTGCCAGTGGAACTTGAATAGAAACGAGACCATCCCAGGCACTGCGCACACCTTTGCTATTTACGCTCTGTGAGGTGTGTGTGTGTGCTAAGTTGTTTCAGCCGTGTCTGACTCTTTGTGACCCTATGGACGGTAGCCCGCCTGGCTCTTCTGTCCATGGGGATTCTCCAGGCAAGAATACTGGAGTGGGTTGCCATGCCCTGGACGGTAGCCCGCCTGGCTCTTCTGTCCATGGGGATTCTCCAGGCAAGAATACTGGAGTGGGTTGCCATGCCCTCCTCCAGGGGATCTTCCCAGCCCAGGGATCAAACCCGTGTCTCTTGTGTCTCCTGCGTTGGCATGCGGGTTCTTTACCCCTAGCGCCACCTGGGAAGCTGTGTAAGCTTTGCTTCCAGAAGAGGGGGAGAGGAAGGAGAAGGGAAAGCAGGCATGCCCACGTGGATGACTGTCGTGGGCCACTGGGGCCCAGAGTCTGGCCGCTGCTCACGCGTGCCGGATGCCTCCTCGCCAGATTGCATCATGCTTCCAGGAATGTTCGCTCTGAAGAATGTTTACCAAGACAAACTGCGGGTGGGGGAGGAGTGTTGGCTGTTAAAAGGATTGAGTAGCAGGATTATTTTAATTTTAGGCTCCAAACATTCACTCTCTTCTCAAACTGGTCTCCTTACTGGGTAAGAAGGTGCATGTTATGGAAACTGTAGTGACCTGACCTCATCGAAGTTTTCGTCAGTGCCATCATTGTGTCTGAGGAGGGATGTGATGAAGAACTTGAGGGAGATGAGCCTGTGCGACTTTAATCTCGCTCATTTACGAGGAGGTCTCTGTGTGGTGGTCTTGTGCAGCTTGTCTCTTGCTTTGCTGTTCATCGAAACTTGGTGGGTTAAAAAAATTACCTTATGTGAAGAACGTAATACATTTTAAAAGAACCTTCGAAACAGACTCACAGACTTAGAGAATGAACTTATGGTTCCCGGGGGGTGGAAGGGGGAAGGCTGGGGGGAAGGGGTAATTATGGAGCTGGAGATCAACATGAACACACGGCTTTATTTAAAATGGGTAACAAACAAGGACCTAATGTAGAGCACAAGAGAACTCTGCTCAATGTTCCGTGGCAGCCTGGGTGGGAGGGGAGTTTGGGGAAGAATGGGTACGTGTATATGTTTGGCTGAGTCACTCTGCTGTTCACCAGGAACTATCACAACACTGTTAATCATCTATACTTCAATATAAAATAAAAAATTAAAAAAAAATAAAAGAACCTTTGAGACAGAAGAGGGCAGCAAGCAGTGAGCAAGAGTCAGGTGGTAAGCTGCTGTCTGGAACCAGAAACGGCTTTTTCCCGGGCCGCTTCCAAACTGTTTTACTTTGTATGTAAAGCTGATATTGTGCTTAGTCTCTAAGGAAGGACTGATTGCTGTGGGGTTGAGGTGCATTTCTTTGTTGCCTTGTATTATTCAAAGCAGTGTGACGTGTTTAGTATGATCTCGTCAATGATGTCAGTGCTGTTCCAGTGGAAATTTTTGTGACGATGGACTTGTTCTGTATTTGCACTGTTCTGATCCAGCCAGTGGCCACGTATGTCTGTGTAGCATGTGATGTGTGAGCAGTGTGACGGAGGAACTGCCTTGGAACTATAACTCTTGCACTGGATGGGGAAGATCCAGAGTAAGTTTCCTTTGTATTGTTGTTGGTGCATCAGAGCATCGACAGCCACCTCGACATTAGTTTATATGCTGAAGATGACTACTCATGGGAGGAATAATGTCTCTGGTGGGTAGTAGGTGGTAACCCCATCCCAGCCAGCACCCCTGAGCTGCGTCAGCGGTGAGTCATGATACTGAGATGACATTTATGGTGAGTCAGACGTGAGGGCCCCGCTGTCTGTGGATATTGTGCAGGCTTGGCCTTTTGTTCAGAGGGGAGAGTGTGAGTTGAGGCCGGGGTCTGATTGGTGTGCTGCGGTTGTGAAGAGTGGGACTCCTTGGCATATGGCGCCTTCACACTCTGTGCAGGTGGGATACAGGAGAGGGCAAAGCATTTGGAGCAAAAGAAAGAAGAAGGTAGATGAAATTGGTTCATATGGAAATTAAAGAGGAAGAAAGGGTCCGTTTGGTTTGAGGATACAAGGCTAAATGTGATGAGGAAATCGAAGCTTAACAGTGGGCAGCTGTGAGTGTTGTGCCAAGGAGAAGGGATGTGAACGTGGAGCAGGAAGCGTGGACCTCCTTGGGAAGTACAGTGGGGAGGGTGAACTTCCACTGCCTTGTTGGAAACCCAGCTACAAACAAAGATGCATTAGACCAGCTCTGGATTGGCAAAGCTGGAAACGGCTTGGTTAGTTGTTTGTTGTAGTTTAAAAGCAAATTTTACTTTTAAAAGGTTGAATCTGCAAAAATAAAAACATGTGCCAGGTAATCAACTAAGATTTCCAGTTAAAAGTTAAGTTCATGACTGAGTACTGTGAAGCAAGAATGCCAGTGTCTCAGGTGAATTATGGATCCATGGGAGGTGACACTTCTCTCTCAGCAAGTGATATTCCATTGTGAGTGAGCTTGTATGTGACAGCCCAGATTTGAAACTGATTTTTCTGCAGTCATTTATCAGCTCAGATTGGTCACACAGTTCAGTTCAGTTTGGTCACTTAGTCGCGTCTGACCACTTGCGACCCCATGGACTGCAGCAGGCCAGGCTTCCCTGTCCATCACCAACTCCCAGAGCTTGCTAAACTCATGTCCATCGAGTCGGTGATACCATCCAACCATCTCATCCTCTGTCGTGCTCTTTTCCTCCTGCCTTCAATCTGTTTGCTTTGGACTAAAGATAATTTGTTGAAGTTTACTAAAGCTGTAGTTATGTGAACATTTGGATGGAAAAAATGAAGGACTGGTAAAACTGACATGTTAAGACAAGAGCTCTGTGAGCATGCTTAACTTTTCCCATGGGGGCAGGTCGTAGGGAGGTGGAGGTCACTAGGGGACATGGTAATGGAATTGACCGGTGTCATCTTCCTGCCTGGGGAGTCCTGGTACCTGAAGCTCTGGGTGTGAAGCAACTCCTTATCTGCTGTTTGGCAAGTGGAGAGTGAGCCTGATGCAAATGCCTGGGATTTTAAGCATGATATTGTGCTCAATGGGGCTTTCCTGATGGCTCAGTTGCTAAAGAATCTGTCAGCAATGTGGGAGATCTAGGTGGTTTGATCCCTGGGTCGGAAAGATCCCCTAGAGAAGAGAATGGCTCCCCGCTCCTGTATCCTTGACTGGAGAATTCCATGACAGAGGAGCCTGACGGCTACAGTCCATGGGGTTACAAAGAATCAGACACGACTAAGTGACTAATACACACACATTGTGCTAAATAAGCCTTTCAGAAGAAATAATTTTGTCTTTTGTAATTGCAGAGGTAATAACTGCTCACAGTAGAAAACTTTGAAGTTTTAGAAAGAATAGGAAACAAGAAAAACATTCCTATTGTCCTGCCACCCCCAAAGCAGCTACTGTAAGATTTTGGTGTGTGTATTACCAGGATTTTCCCTATGCATCTGTTTTTTTACATAGTTGTGATCATGTAAGCAATAGAATTGTGTGTTCTGCTTTATTCACATTAGATTATATGACATATATAAAGCTCCATGTTAGAAGGTAGCTGAAAATAATGCTGTACATTTTTTCTACTAAAAATGTGGATTACTTTTATAAGAAGAAAGAGATGATGTCATAGATTCTCCCTGAAGTGTTTGAAAGTGTTAGTTGCTCAGTCGTGTCTGACTCTTTTGCAAACCCATGGACTACGCCCGCCAGGTTCCTCTGTCCGTGGTATTCTCCAGGCAGGAATACTGGAGTGGGTAGCCATTCTCTTCTCCAGGGGATCTTCCCGACCTAGGGACTGTCGCTGCGTCTTTTG